TAACAGATTAGCTGGCGCTGTGCTCAGCTCACAATGCACAAAACCTGCACAATGCACCTAGTGTGGCATGAGCACAAAACAGGATGACATGGCATGCAGAACGCCCCAAGTCTTTTTTTTTTTTTAAATAATATTTATTAAAGTTTCAAAAGAAGAAAAATCACATTAATAAAAAAATTAACAATAAAAAAGAAAAATACAAGGTAGAGAAAAGAAAAAAACAGTTAAAAACAATTCCATCTTTTCATCACTTCTTTTACGTTTACTTGTTTCCCGGACCTCCTCATACCTCCCTCTTTTGTATTCCAATTCAATTTGTTAATCCAACAATTCCTTTCCCTCCTTTTTAATCCTAATCTTTAATCTTGATATATTATAATTTTAAATTTTTACATATTAAGAACCAATTTTTCCATATTCTTTTGTACCTATACAGCTAGAAACCACTTAGCTTCAATCCAACATCATTCTAACATTCATTAATTTTGCAATATTTCTGTAAATAGTCTTTAAATTTCTTCCAATCTTCTTCCACCGACTCTTCTCCCTGGTCACGGATTCTGCCAGTCAATTCCGCCAATTCCATATAGTCCATCAATTTCATCTGCCATTCCTCCAGTGTGGGTAAGTCTTGTGTCTTCCAATGCTTTGCAATAAGTATTCTTGCTGCTGTTGTAGCATACATAAAGAAAGTTCTGTCCTTTTTTAACACCGATTGGCCGACTATGCCCAGGAGAAAGGCCTCTGGTTTCTTCAAGAAGGTATATTTAAATACCTTTTTAGTTCATTATATATCATCTCCCAGAAAGCCTTAATCTTTGGGCACGTCCACCAAAGGTGAAAAATGTACCTTCAGTTTCTTTACATTTCCAACATTTATTGTCAGGCACATGATAGATTTTTGCAAGCTTGACTGGGGTTATGTACCACCTGTATATCATTTTCATAATATTTTCTCTTAAGGCATTACATGCCGTAAATTTCATACCTGTGGTCCACAACTGTTCCCAGTCAGCAAACATAATATTATGTCCAACATCTTGTGCCCATTTAATCATAGCCGATTTTACCGTTTCATCCTGAGTATTCCATTTCAACAGCAAGTTATACATCTTTGACAAAGTTTTAGTTTTGGGTTCTAACAATTCTGTTTCTAATTTTGATTTTTCCACCTGGAAGCCAATTTTCTTGTCCAAATTGTATGCCTCCATTATCTGAAAATAATGAAGCCAGTCTCGCACTTTGTTTTTTAATTTTTCAAAACTCTGCAGTTTCAATCTATCTCCATCTAGTTCCAAAATTTCCCAATATTTCGGCCATTTGACCTCCATATTGAGCTTTTTCAAGGCTTTCGCTTCCATCGGTGACAGCCACCTTGGGGTTTTATTTTCCAGTAAATCCTTATATTTTATCCAAACATTAAACAATGTTTTCCTGACAATATGGTTTTTAAATGCTTTATGTGCTTTGACCTTATCGTACCACAGATATGCATGCCATCCAAATACATTGTTAAAACCTTCCAAATCCAAAATGTCAGTGTTTTCAAGAAGCAGCCATTCTTTCAACCAGCAAAAAGCTGCTGATTCATAATAAAGTTTGAGGTCTGGCAGGGCAAATCCACCTCTTTCCTTTGCATCTGTGTTAGTATTTTAAATTTTATTCTGGGCTTCTTGCCCTGCCAGACAAATCTAGAAATATCTCTCTGCCACCTCTTGAAACAGTCCATTTTGTCCACAATTTGCAATGTTTGAAACAAAAACAACAGAACGCCCCAAGTCCAATCCCATCTCCGGTTATGAGAATCCATTTATAAGGATCAGTCGAGGTGGCTCGGTCGGCAGAGTATGAGACTCTCAACCTTGGAGCTGCGAGTTCGAGTCCTGAGTCGAGCAAGAGATTCCTGCCTTGCAGGGGGTTGGACTAGATGACCCTCGGGGTCCCTTCCGACTTTGCCATTCTATGATTCTGTGATAAGCAGGGGAAGGCAAAGACCTTTCTTCCTCTGCTGAGATAGCTTTCGATAAGAGGAAAGTGGAGGAGCTAGGAGGTCCCAAATCACCCCGTTTGTGACTCCATCCTGGGTAGAGAGAAGTTTTTCTCCTTTTCTCCTAACACTAGAACTCCAACGCAGCTGAGGGTTGGAAGATTCAGGAAAGAAAGTCCTTTTTTTCCACACAGTGCAGACTATGGAACTCCCTACCACTTGAGGCAGTGATGGTCACAAACTTAGATGGCTTTAAAAGAGGATTGTTCTTGGCTGTTGTAATGTTGGATTGTAATGGCTGTTCTTAAATGATAAGGACGTTGGGTTATTTGCTTTGCACGTTGTACTTTTTGTGGGGTGAAACATACAACTCCAGAGAAAGGATCAAAACGCCCAAGTAGCTTTCGAAGAACCTTATTTCTGTGACGTGAGGGTGTATATTGCATTTTGAACCTGAAACAATGGCTCGCCGATTCGTTTTACAGATGGCAGGGAGACGGAATTATATATTGGACGTCTTGCCCCGTTGTGTTAAAACAGTTAACAATCGTTACACGAGGAAAGCACTTTTTGTGTTGTTTTTCCAGCGCCGAGGGAAAGAAACAGCGAACCACCAAAGAACAAAACCGGAAGGAGACATAACTGGAGCAATTTTGGATTCTCCCAGAGCTCAAGGGTGCCTTTCACAGCAAAATAGAAAGTTTCTCTACGCCAGATTAACCACAAACACAAAAGTAAGGTTCCCCAGGTAAAGTCAACCGGGCCCATAAACAGTGTAGGAAGTATTCCGTGTAATTGACAGAAATAACAATACAATATAGTGCAGCGATGGAAACGCAGACAGACCTTGTCAACAGCTCTGCAATACATTCATCTTAGGTTCAATTTCACAAGGAAATCTATATTTCCAGTCGATTTAGTGGGGAGGGGCCTGGCTACAGGGTGAGTCTCTTTCGCATGTGCTCTTACGTACTATTGCCGATAGCACGGGAACGTAGAATTGTAGAGTTTGAAGGGACCTTGCGGGGTCATCTAGTCCAACCCGCTACAATCCTGTTCCGCCTGGCCTTTGGTTTGGACTCGGTCTGACCCCTATGTTTCCCTCCCCTTATGTTCTTGATTTATCAGCTACTTTAAAATGAGGCTGGATTTTAAATTGCATTTTAACCTGTATTTAAAATTGCCCCCCCCCCTCTTTTCCCCCTATTATGTTTTCACTGTGGATTTTATTGGTGTTAGCCGCCCTGAGCCCGGCTCTGGCCGGGGAGGGCGGGGTATAAATAAAATTTATTATTATTATTACAATGCAGGAATCACACTCAGACGGCTGGCCACCCAACCTCCGCTTAAAAACCTCCAACGAAGGAAAGTCCCAACGCCTTCCAAAAGAGTTCATTCCACTGTCAAACACCTCTTACCACCAGATAGTTCTTCCTCGTGTCCGTCAGTTCAGGTCCTACCCTCCAGAGCAGGAGAAAACAAGCTTGCTCCATCTTCCATGTGGAAGTATCCTTTAGATACTGAATATGGCTACATCTCCTCTTTTGCAGGCTAAACATACCCAGCTCCTTCGACCGTTCCTCATCAGGCTTGGTTTCCAGACCCCTGATCATCTTGGCTGCCCTCCTCTGCTCAATACCCTCCTTAAATTGTGGCGCCCAGAACTGGACACATGACTCCAGGTGTGGTCCGACCAAGGCAGAATAGATGGGGACTATATAAATCAGGCATAGGCAAACTCGGCCCTCCAGATGTTTTGGGACTACAACTCCCATCATCCCTAGCTAACAGGACCAGTGGTCAGGGGTGATGGGAGTTGTAGTTCCAAAACATCTGGAGGGCTGAGTTTGCCTGTGCCTGCTATGAAATGTAACCTGCCTTTCCTACCAAAGAAGCTGTCACAGTCCGGTTCACAGGCGATCGAAGTCCCGGCAGGGGACGTCAGGACCGGGGGCAAGATGGCGGGGTGGGAGCAGGAACGGGGGTCCAGAAGCCAGGAATCGGGAAGCCAAGGGTCCGAGGGTCAGGAAGCAAGGAGTCAAGAAGCCGAGGTTCAAGGAACAGGAAGCAAGAAGCCCAAGGCAGGGAGCGTGTTGCTGTGGCAAAGAGCTGAAGGGAAATGCTGACCTTATATCCCTTCCCAGCTCTTGCCACCAGGTGCTGTGAGTTACCAATCGGCCTCACCTGTGCGGCCGCGCCTTGCCTCTTCAGAACAAACTTAGGAAGTCCCCAGTCCTGCAGAGTCCTATTGGTCACGGGGCCTGGGTCCTGCACGCACACCTGACAGAAGCCCTGGAGTTGGAAGGGACCCCAATGGTCAACTAGTCTGTAATAAACAAAAATCTGCCCTTATTCCCTTATGGGGGACACAAGAGCCCTTATAGAGTCATTTGCAGGTTCTCCATCAGTCGGAGAAAATAACAGAGGCCAGCCAGAGAATATTGAGAAGCAAAGCAGCTAGTAAGCCTGATCTTTATTGAACTGTTGCAACAGGGTGCCCCCTTCACACGCAGGAGAAAAAAGAGGATCCCGAACAAAGGAGTGCCCGCCCTTATATAGACATTTTAAATTGCCTGCCCTGGAGTCCAAGACCACCCCCAGAAACATCATACCTACATCACAGCAAGGGCGGTCTACAACAGAAATCTGAACGCGTTGTTTACCTCCTGTCTGGCAGGTTACATGTTAATGGTCACTTGATTGGATACCCTGGGGAGCCTGGCCAGTCTTTGGTAATGACAAATACTTAGTTCCTGAGCCAGATCACAGGCTCACACTATTCATACACAGACATACCCTTAGGACAGGATTTGTGAAGGAAAAGACAATGGGGAGGCTTTTCCATTTTCCTTCGACCTTGCAGAGAAATATTTGAGGTCAATTTGGGAGGGACAAAATGGTTTCAGGACTTTTTCTGCGGGGTTTCAGACATGTGGTTTATATATGCAGATATATATATACACACCTTAAAATTTTTATTTCAAGTCCAACCCCCTGCAAAGCAGGAATCGTTTGCCCCACGTGAGACTCGAACCCACAACCCTGAGATCAAAAGCCTCATGCTCTACCGCCTGAGCTATCCCAGGCCATTCTTCTGTTCTTACTTGCCAGTGCCCCCTCCTAAAGGAGTGAAACTGCAAGAATGGTCTCCTTCAGCAGCGAGATTCTCCCCCTCTCTTTCTCGCCAGCGTCAGGAGAGGAGCAGGGAAGTTCATCCCCAGCCCCTCTCAAAGGCACGAGAAGCATGTTCACAGAGGGATAACGGTCGGAAAAATAAATTGCAATCTCGATAGGAAGAAGGAGTCTTCGTAACGTCTTAGCTAACCCTCAGCGTCCGAAATAGGATGTTCTGTACCGCGCTTGAGCCTGTCTGAAAAATCTCCGTAGGAAGGAAATCCCAACACGTCCATAACCTGAGACACCTCCAACCGTTTACTCGGGTTTTAGGTAATCCAGAGTAACTATCGCCCTCTGATCCCGTACCTGTGAGAAGTGTGGACTGGAAATCTAATTCTACCCGTAAATATGCTATTGATACATTGGGGTGGGGGGGGGAGAACAGTCCTGTTAGCAAATATATATATATATATTTGAAAATAGTTGTTAAAAACTGGGGCTAGGGATCTTTGAGGGAGCCCTACACTTGGTCCCTCCCCCCTCACAGGGTTGCTTGGTGGGGACGCGGGACATGGCCTTCTCGGTGGTGGCTCCTCCCAGGCAACTTTGAAACTCCCTGCTTAGAGAAGCCAGACCAGCTCCCTCTCTGCTGCCCTTCCATCAGCTGGCTGAGACGGTTTTATTCTGACAGGCCTTTGGGAACTGAATGCTTTTTCTTTTTGTTTTTCAGGAAAGGGCTTTTAAAGAGTGCTTTGACGTTTTGGCTATCTGTATTTTAATATTCCTTTTTTAAAAAAATTAGTTCTTTTTAAAAAATATATTTTTATTAGTTTTTATGTGGAATTTCCAAAAAAAAATACAACATATTTTCTTATCTTATTCAGTGTTTTGGACTTTCATCAACCACATCTGAAGGTTTTTCAATCTTTATCACTTCATCTGCATTTCAATACTTTCACTATTACTTGTAATAGTCCTTCACTAATAATTTTCTTCATACTTTTCTCTGCAATATTTCACATAGTCCTCCTTACAAAACCTCTTGCAATCCTACTAGCTGTTGATTACAATTGTTTTTCAAATAATTCACATATTTACTCCAGTCCTCTGAGAATCTCTGACCCCGCAGGTTTCGAATCCTTCCTGTCATCTTGTCTAATTCTGCATAGTCCATTAATTTTTAGTTTTATTTATAGTTCAATTGCCTTTCGAACCGTTGTCTTCTATGTTTTTTAGCTTTCTGCGTTTTATCAGGGCTGTTTGAATTTGCGCAAACCGCCTCGAGTCCTGGCAAGGTTGTACAGATCACCTGTGTATCCAGGTGATCTCACAGAGAGCCGGACACTGAAGCAAAGATTCTCCCGACTCCTTTTCCAAATACCGTATTTTTTGCTCTATAAGACTCACTTTTTCCCTCCTAAAAAGTAAGGGGAAATGTGTGTGCGTCTTACGGAGCGAATGCAGGCTGCGCAGCTATCCCAGAAGCCAGAACAGCAAGAGGGATTGCTGCTTTCACTGCGCAGAATATTTTTTTCCCTTGTTTTCCTCCTCCAAAAACTAGGTGCGTCTTATGGTCTGGTGCGTCTTATAGAGCGAAAAATATGGTAATTCCCTTCCCTGTCCCTGGCGCAGAGGTGTCAAGAAAGAGGTGATTTTGAGGAGGAACAAGCCGAGGCAGTGGAGAGAGAAGCAGACAGAACAGACTAGGGAGAAAGTGGCAGAATCAGCCCCAGTCTGTGGCCTTTGCCAAAGCTGGCCACTCACAGACCTGCGTCCTTGTCCAGATCATAGAACTGTATGGAGTTGGAAAGGGAGCCGAGGGTCATCTAGTCCAACCCCACTGCAATGGGTGCCGGATTTACGTATAAGCTAAACAAGCTACAGCTTAGGGCCCCACTCTCTTGGGGCCCCCCAAAAAATGTAAAGAAAAAACAACTGGATGTACATTTCCAAAATATAAGATAAAAAACAAAATAAAACCTACATACAGCAACAGTGTTTTGTGTTGTGTAGGCTCCTAGGATATAAGTCACGGGCCCCGCCTGCTCGCCTGCTCCCTCAAATATCCCTGGTTTGCTCATTTCTATATATAGGGTGCCTACATAAAATATGTATCTTTTTGATAAAATACGTACAGTGGTACCTCGGGTTAAGAACTTAATTCGTTCCGGAGGTCCATTCTTAACCTGAAACTGTTTTTAACCTGAAGCACCACTTTAGCTAATGGGGCCTCCCACTGCCACTGCGCGATTTCTGTTCTCATCTTGAAGCAAAGTTCTTAACCCGAGGTAATATTTCTGGGTTAGCGGAGTCTGTAACCTGAAGCGTCTGTAACCCGAGGTACCACTGTATTTTGTTATGTGCAAATGGCTTTAGATACCTATGAGGTCCATAAATGACCATATAGCTTATACTCAACACACAAAAACAGCGACAATTTGTTGTTGACGAAGGGCAGCTGGACATATAAAGGGCCCGTTACCTTCAGTAGCTTAGGGCCTCGTCAAACCTAAATTTGGCGCTGTCTGCAATGCAGAAATCTCAACTAGATCGTGCATGACAGGTGACCCCCCACCTCAAGCTCTGCTTAGAAACTTCCAAGGAAGAAGAGTCCACCACATGGGTAGGCAAACTGAGGCCCGGGGGCCAGATCCAGCCCAATCGCCTTCTAAATCCGGTGTGCGGACGGTCCGGGAATCAGCCTGTTTTTACATGAGTAGAATGTGTGATTTTATTTAAAATTCATCTCTGGGTTATTTGTGGGGCCTGCCTGGTGTTTTTACATGAGTAGAATGTGTCCTTTTATTTAAAATGCATCTCTGGGTTATTTGTGGGACATAGGAATTCACTCTTTTTTTTTCCTTTTCAAAATATAGTCCGGCCCCCCACAAGGTCTGAGGGACAGTGGACCGGCCCCCTGCTGAAAAAGTTTGCTGACCCCTGGAGTCCACCATCTCAAGAGGGAGTCGGTTCCACTGTCAGACAGACCTTAGGTCAGAAAATTCTTCCTGATGTTGCGTCGGAATCTCCTTCCTTGTAACGTGAATCCATCGGTTTGAGTTCCCCACGAGCCCTGCAAGAGTCCATTTCTAGTATGATGGCTGCTGGATTATTACCTAACCACCCTCCCAGAACTTCTTTTCAGTGCTCAGGTATGGACAGGGGAGAAAGAAACCCGGTTGGGTTCATTTTAATGTTGACTTGCGCAATTCGCACCCAAAACGCAACGCAGCTGTCCTTCTCCAGATCCACGCTTCTCCAGGTTTTGCAACCCAGCCCAAATAACAGGTGAAAAAAAAAAAAAGCATTTGGCATAGATAAAAGTGCATGCATGAGCGAAAACAACACACAGAAATGAATTATAATAGGGGGAAATGTGTGCAGTAAGGAGAAACAGACACTTAACTGTTTGGCAGACTTTTGCGGGCATTTGAAATAAATTGCAGAGCGATGCTGCAGAAATGCAGTTTTGAGACTGGAAGGTTTAAGAATGGGGGAAACGAGAGACTAAGAGAAGGCCACTACAGGGGTGGCCAACTCCCAAGAGACCATAGCTGTCAACTTACAGATTTGAAAATAAGGGAACAGCAGCCTCGAAAATAAGGGATCAGCAGCCAAAATAAGGGATTTTCCAAGCACAGGTATGTTCAACTTCTGAGCCCCTCCGAGCCAAAGGCAGAAAGCCCAGCCAGCAGCCAAACGAAGCCTCAAGCGGTGGTTCCCACAGCGCAGCAACCCAGCAAAGGCGATGCAGCAAGGAAAACCACCGTCCCCTCTCCGCTGGGAAGCGCTGAGCAAAGGCGAGTTTCCAGGCAACGCGGCCGATTTGATCTGCACAAGGCATGCAAGCTCCACCCCCCAGTCGTTCTCAGACTCCTTATTGGGTGAGCAACGCAGCCAAGCAACACAGTTGGAGCCTCCCTCCTCCCTGGCCAGCAGGGAGGGAGGGAGAGGAGCTGCTTCCTTTGAAACCCGGGAAATTTAAGGGACATCATCAATAAGGGACAGCAGCGGGACATGGCGCTGGGATAAGGGGCTGTCCCGCCAAATAAGGGACAGTTGACAACTATGCCAAGAGACTGCGATCTACTCACGAAGTTAAAAACTGGCAAGAATACTTTAAGAATATTTTAAAAATCACGGTATAAAAGGAAACTTCTTGGCAGAATTAGACTGAACCTTGCATTGTATAAATGTAAGTTTGTAGGGAAGTTAACAGAAACTATATAAGAAATATGTAACTGTGTGGTATAAGATAATCAACAGACAAAGTACAGCGAGACTAATTGGAAGTTATTTTTAATTTCCTGTTTTACAATCATTCACATCATTGGGTGTACAAAGGATGTTAGTTATAAGAATTGTGTTGTTTCATATATTGCTACTGTCTGTTTGTCAATTTAAGGTTTGTTCATTTGACTGTATGTTTGTCTGTTGGTTGGTTTGCATTCCTGGCATAAATATATGTATTTTAAAACAATAAAGATATACACATTCAAAAGAGTTAAAAACTGGAAGTGATCTACCTCCTTTTTTTGGGTTCAGGTCAAAGTTGTTGACTTTTTTTAGGAAGGAAAACCCTGTTTTGGGGGGTTCAGGTCAAGGTTGCTTCTTTTAGGGGAGCCAAAGTTGTTTACCTTCTTTGGGGAGAGCCAGTGATCTACCGCAGACGTCCAGTGCATAGCTGTCAACCGTCCCTTATTTGGCGGGACAGTCCCTTATCCCAGCGCCGTGTCCCGCTGCCGTCCCTTATTGATGATGTCCCTTAAATTTTCTGGGTTTCAAAGGGAGCAGCTCCTCTCCCTCCCTCCCTGCCGGCCAGGGAGGAGGGAGGCTCCAACTGTGTTGATTGGCTGCGTTGCTCACCCAATAAGGAGTCTGAGAACGACTGGGGGGTGGAGCTTGCATGCCTTGTGCCAATCAAATCGGCCGTGTTGCCTGGGGTCTCACCTTTGCTCAGCGCTTCCCAG